CCTTCCCTTTTCCCCGCAGCTCTTCTACCTGTGCACGGAGGTTTTCCAGCAGAGCACAGCCAAGGATTCCCGAGCTTTGGGGAAGGAGATCTGGAATATTTTCCTGGACAGGAGCGCGGTAAGAGCGGGATCCAGGGCTCCCCCTCACCCTTGGGATCACCGACTCCTCTTCCCTGCTTGGGGCTGTTCCCTAAGATACCAAACCAGGAATGGGATTTGGGATTTGGACTCCTGGAGCTCTTGTCCTGGCACAGAATTCCTCATCCTTGCAGGGAGCAGCTGGAATTCCTGCATTCCCGTTGTGTCCTGGGATGGGTTTGGGAGTGTTTTGGAAGTGGTTTTGGGTGGGTTTTGCCACTGGAAAAGCTTTTTTTGCTCTGGGAAGCACAAGGAGTTGTGTGAGGAATCCCTGGAGCTCTTGTCATGGCACAGAATCCTCATCCTTGCAGGGAACAGCTGGAATTCCAGCGTTCCCCTTGTGTCCTGGGATGGTTTTGGGAGTGATTTGGAAGCGGTTTTGGGTGGGTTTTGCCACTGGAAAAGCTTTTTTTAGCTCTGGGAAGCACAAGGAGTTGTGTGAGGAATCCCTGGAGCTCTTGTCATGGCACGGGATTCCTCATCCTTGGGGAACAGCTGGAATTCCTGCATTCCCTTTCTGTCCTGGGGTGGGTTTGGGAGTGTTTTGGAAGTGGTTTTGGGTGGGTTTTGCCACTGGAAAAGCTTTTTTAGCTCTGGGAAGCGCAGGATTTGGGCTCCTGGAGCTCTTGTCATGGCACCTAATTCCTCATCCTTGCAGGGAACAGCTGGAATTCCAGCACTCCCCTCGTGTCCTGGGATGGGTTTGGGAGTGTTTTGGAAGCGGTTTTGGGTGGGTTTTGCCACTGGAAAAGCTTTTTTAGCTCCGGGAAGCGCAGGATTTGGGCTCCTGGAGCTCTTGTCATGGCACAGGATTCCTCATCCTTGGGGAACAGCTGGAATTCCTGCATTCCCTTTCTGTCCTGGGGTGGGTTTGGGAGTGTTTTGGAAGCGGTTTTGGATGGGTTTTGCCACTGGAAAAGCTTTTTTAGCTCTGGGAAGCACAAGGAGTTTTGTGAGGAATCTCCACTCCTGGCACAACTCCAGCTGCCTCCAGGGCCTGGAAGCAGGAGAGGAGGGTCCTGGAAGGGAGGATGGAGACCCAGGTGCTCCTGTTGGTGCTCCAAGGGAGCAGATTCCTGTTGGGAATCTTTCGTGGGATGCTGGGTGTGTGAGATCTCCGTGGAGAGATGGGGCGGGAATTCAGGGGCTCCAGCACCATAATCCCAGCTCCATCCATCTGGGAAAAGGGATCCAGAGCTGAGCTGCTCCTCTGTTCTCCCCCTCTCTGCAGCCTCTCCGGGTGAAGGTGTCGGAGCAGCTCCTGGCAGAGATTGGTGAGTGAGGATTCCTTGGGATTCCAATCCAGGAGGAGGGATTGGGACTGGGAGCTCCCGGAGCTCTTCCCGGTGATCTCGGGGCTCTCCTTGTGGTGTCTCAGCAAAACAGGTCACAAAATGGGAATCACCTCTGGCAGGGGGGCGGCCAGCACTCAGGGCAGGTCTGCCTGAGGATTCCCTGAGGATTCCCAAATGTCCCTGGGGTGGTTGGTGACCGGGATTGTCCCTCCCCGTCCCCAGAGAGTCGCCTGCGCAATGGGGACGACGCCCGGGCCGCCCTGTTTGAGGCCCAGGAGATGGTGATGCCCGAGATCCAGGAGCAGATCCAGGATTACAGGTACCACACCTGCCCAGGGGTCCCCACGGGCACCTTGGGGGTGACCCCATAGGCCACATGTGCCCCATAGGCTGCAAAGGCCCTATAGGCCCCATAGACCCCATAGGCTGCAAAGGCCCTATAGGTCCCATAGACCCCATAGGCTGCAAAGGCCTCATGGGCCCCATAGACCCCATAGGCTGCAAAGGCCCTATAGGCCCCATAGACCTCTTAAACTACATAGGCCCCATAAGCCCCACAGACCCAACAGGTCCAATAGGCTTCAAAGGCCCCCTAGGCCCTATAGGCCACATGAGCCTCATGAGTCACATAGGCCCCATTGACCCCATAGGCCCCATAAGCCCCATAGACCCCTTAGGCCCCACAGGCCCTACAGGCCCCACAAGTCCTGAGGGCACCATAGTCCTCACAGGCCCTGCAGACCCTAATGGCCCCAGAGGCACTGAGGGCCCTACAAGCCCCATAGACCCCTTAGGCCCTACAGGCCCCAGAGGTCCTGAGGGCCCCATAGGCCCCTTAGGCCTCACAGGCTCTACAGGCCCCACAGGCCCTGAGGGCCCCATAGGCCCCACAGACCCTACAGGCCCCACAGGCCCTGAGGGCCCCACCGGCCCCACAGACCCTACAGGCCCCATAGGCCATGAGTGCTCCATAGGCCTCACTGGTCCCACAGGCCCTGAGGGCTCCATAGGCCCCACAGACCCTACAGGCCCCAGAGGCCCTGAGGGCCCCATAGACCCTTTAGGCCCCACAAGCCCTGAGGGCCCCATAGGGCTCACAGGCCCCACAGGCCCTGAGGGCTCCATAGGCCTCACAGGCCCTACAGGCCCTAATGACCCCAGAGGCACTGAGGGCCCCACAGGCCATGAGGGTCCCATAGGCCCCACAGACCCTACAGGCCATAATGGCCCCAGAGGCACTGAGGGCCTCACAGGCCCCATAGGCCCCACAGGCCCTGAGGGCTCCATAGGCCTCACAGACCCCACAGGCCCTGAGGGCCCCACTGGCCCCACAGGCTCTGAGAGCCCCACCGGCCCCACAGACCCTACAGGCCCCACAGGCCCTGAGGGCCCCACAGACCCTACAGGCCCCAATGGCCCCAGAGGCCCCATCCCACAGTGCCGGTCCCGATCCCGGTCCTTGCAGGACGAAGCGGACGATGGGCCTGGGGAGCCTCTATGGGGAGAATGACCTCCTGGAGCTGGATGGGGACCCCCAGAAGGAGCGGCAGGTGGCCGAGAAGCAGCTGGCCCAGCTCGGGGATATCCTGTGAGTGCCTGAGTTTGGGGTCGGGGACATGGGGAAGGGGGGCAGGAACAGCCTCAGCTCCATCCCTTCGTCCTGCTGGAGGTGGGAAGGGGAGGTGGGAGCAGGGAGGTGATGCCAACACCCTTCCCGGGGGTCCTGGTGTCCCAAACAAACCCTTTTATCCCTCCCTGTCTCTCCACAGGTCGAAGTATGAAGAGGACAGGAGGTGAGTGATCCCAGGGCGTGGCAGGAGAGTCGGAAATTCCATAGGGAGTATCCAGTCCTGGCCTCTGGCATCTTCTCTCTGTGCCACGTGTGCCCCCTGGGCTCTCGGGATGGCCCCGGGAAGGATGAACTTCCCTTGGGATCCTGGGGAGGGATGAACTTCCCTTGGGATCTTGGGGAGGGAAGAACTTCCCTTGGGATCCTGGGGAGGGAAGAACTTCCCTTGGGATCTTGGGGAAGGATGAACTTCCCTTGGGATCCTGGGGAGGGAAGAACTTCCCTTGGGATCCTGGGGAGGGAAGAACTTCCCTTGGGATCTTGGGAGGGAAGAGCTTCCTTTGGGATCTTGGAGAGGGATGAACTTCCCCTGGGATCTGGTGGGCCACGTGTGCCCCTCTCCCATTCCACCTCCCCCTCTCCCAACTCCTCCTCTCCTTCCCTCTTCCCTCTCAGCCTCATCCCACGCTGGGATTTCTCCCTGTGGATCCCCCCGGGGGTTATCCCGACCTCCCACCGTGTTTTCCCACCGCATCCAGGGCTGGGATCCCTCTCCATCCCCACGCTCTCCTCTCTTCCAGCTCCCCTATGGCCTTTGCCCTCAGCACCTACATGAACCACACCGGGATCCGGGTCCGGGACCCGCGGCCTCCCGGTGCCTCCGAGAAGATCCCGTCCCTCCCCGACCGGGACAAGTGGCTGCCCTTCTTCCCCAAGGCCAAGAAGGTGGGTGGTGGCTCCCTGAGAGCCCCGAATCCCAGAATTCCTTGAGCTTGGAAAAGCCCTCCCAGCCCATGGATCCACCCCGTGCCCCATCCCCACCTTGGCACTCAGAGCCACATCCAGTCCTTCCTTCCTTGGACACCAGTGCCACCAGTGCCCACCAGTGTCCTCCCGGTGTCACCGGTGCCCTCCCAGTGCCGTCAGATCCTCCCAGTGTCACCAGTGCCCACCAGTGTCCTCCCAGTGTCACCGGTGCCCTCCCAGTGCCATCAGATCCTCCCAGTGTCACCAGTGCCCACCAGTGCTCCCCAGTGCCATCAGATCCTCCCAGTGTCACCAGTGCCCACCAGTGTCACCAGTGCTCCCCAGTGTCACCAGTGCCCACCAGTGTCACCAGTGCTCCCCAGTGCCGTCAGATCCTCCCAGTGTCACCGGTGCCCTCCCAGTGCCATCAGATCCTCCCAGTGTCACCAGTGTCCTCCCAGTGCCCACCGGTGCCCTCCCAGTGCCATCAGATTCTCCCAGTGTCACCAGTGCCCACCAGTGCTCCCCAGTGCCATCAGATCCTCCCAGTGTCACCAGTGCCCACCAGTGTCACCAGTGCTCCCCAGTGTCACCAGTGCCCACCAGTGTCACCAGTGCTCCCCAGTGCCATCAGATCCTCCCAGTGTCACCAGTGCCCACCAGTGTCACCAGTGCTCCCCAGTGCCGTCAGATCCTCCCAGTGTCACCAGTGTCCTCCCAGTGTCACCAGTGCCCTCCCAGTGCCCACCAGTGTCACCAGTGCCCTTCTAGTGCCCACCAGTGCCCTCCCAGTGCTCCCCAGTGCCATCAGATCCTCCCAGTGTCACCAGTGTCCTCCCAGTGCCCACCAGTGTCACCTGTGCCCCCCCGTGCTCCCCAGTGCCACCAGTGCCCTCCCAGTGCCCACCAGTGCCATCAGATCCTCCCAGTGCCCCCCAGTGCCACCAGTGTCACCCAGTGCCATCAGTGCCCTCCCAGTGCCCACCAGTGCCATCAGATCCTCCCAGTGCCAGCAGTGCCCCCCAGTGCCACCAGTGTCCTCCCAGTGTCACCAGTGCCCTCCCAGTTCTCCAGCCCCTTCCCCAGCTCGGTTCCCTCCGGCTCTCCGGAGATCCCCATCTCCCCCCACCCCCGTAGAACCCCAAATCCCGACCCCATCCCTTCTCCAGCGGCTCATTCCCAACGCAGGGAATGTTGGGATCCCCCCGGGGTTCCCGAGGGATGTTTCCCTCTCCGTGTTTCACCCTCCTGGGTGTCCCAACAGAGCAGCAGCTCCAAGAAGGACAAGGATTCCCTGGAAGACAAGAAGCGCAACCCCATCCTCAAATACATCGGGAAACCCAAAATCTCCTCCCAGAGCAGTGAGTGTCCCGGGCCCTTCCCGAGCCCTCGGCAGCTTCCTGGGAATGCCTTGGGAATCCCTCCTGGAATTCCTGCAGCTTCCTGGGAATGCCTTGGGAATCCCTCCTGGAATTCTGGCTCACCCCGTGCCGGGCGTTTCTCATCCCACCCCTTGGAAACCATCCCTTCACCCATCCGTGTTTCCACGGGGCTTTTGGGGGGGAGTGGGAAGGGAGGTCTCATGGAATTATGGGAATATCCTGAGTGGGAATATCCTGAGTGGGAAGGGAGCTCTCATGGAATCGTGGGAATATCCTGAGTGGGAAGGGAGCTCTGATGGAATCCTGGGAATATCCTGAGTGGGAAGGGATCGTGGGAATATCCTGAGTGGGAAGGGAGCTCTCATGGAATCCTGGGAAT